TATACGCCAAGTAGATGGAGGGAAGGAGAAGTTGTGAACTTGTTTAAGAAAGGAGACAGGACTGATCCAGGAAACTACAGAGGGATCACACTGTTGAACACAGTAGGAAAGGGTTCTGTAAGCTGCTGAACGATAGGATAGTGGAGTATTGGAGAAGGAACACATAGCATTAGTGAGGGCCAGGCAGGTTTCCGCAAGAAGAGGGGGTGCGTAGACCACGTGTTCACGGTAGGGAGAATCATCCAAGGTAGAAAGAGGGCGGGAAAGCCGACGTACTGCTTCTTCCTGGACGTGAAAAAGGCATACGACACCGTATGGAGAAATGGGTTGTGGAAACAACTGTCCAAATACGGGATCAAGGGGAAAATGTGGAGAGTGCTGAAGAAGATGACAGAGTGTACGAAAAGCGCGGTCATGCTAGACGGAGAACTGTCAAAATTCTTCGACATTGAGCAGGGGGTCCCACAAGGTTGCACGCTGTCCCCAACATTGTTCCAGGTGTTCATCAACGATCTGTTGGAAGTCGTAGAGGCAGTCCGGAAGGGAGTAAAAGTAGGGGACACGGAAACGTCGGTTTCAGGAATGCTGTTTGCGGATGATTTTGTCGGTATGTCGGACACCCCTGAGGGACTGCAACTGCAAATTGACGCGGCGAAGAAGTTTACTGATAAGTGGAGATTGTCTGCCAACGTTCAGAAGAGTGCCGTCATGGTATGCAACGAGAACAAGGAGGAACCAGTAGAACATAGATGGAAGTGGGGGATCGAGGAGATTGCAGTAGTGGACCAGTACACATACCTTGGAGTAGAGATCGCAAAAGACTGCTCGTGGAATGCACACATGTTTAAAGAGACGGAAAAGGGCAAAGCACGAGCAGGGAAGCTGCACCCAATACTCGCAAACCGGCACCTCGATACACGCATCAAATTGACGGTTTTGAAGAGCGTAATCGTACCGCCGCTAGAGTACGCCGGAGAAGTATGGGAAGGAAATAAGAAGGTAGTGAAAGAACTCGAGGCGGCGCAGATGAAAGCAGCGAAAATCATCCTAGGATGCTCCACGCGCACAAGTAATGCAGCCGTGAGGGCAGAATTGGGGATCTAATCCCTACGGTCGGGAAGAGACGCGAGGAAGCTGACATTACAGTATCGCATGTGCGGGATGGGAAAGGAGAGGTATGGAAGGCGAAGTGGGCAAACAAAAAGAGGGGTAGACAACCCACGGAATGGGTCAAGGTTGTAGAGGACGTATGGAAGGGGCTCGACATCGGCGAAGATGAAACGCTGGAAACGGAGGGTCTACAGGGGTTCAAGGAGAAGATATCTGTTGCTTGTGCCGAGAGAGAACAGAATCTAAGGAAAGAATCCAAGGATAACGAGGTTCTAGAAGTGTACGGAATGCTGAAGGAAGGAATAGGGTTCAAGGACTACCTAACATGGACCAATGGATGCAGGAACAAAGCTTAAGGTCAAATTCAGGACCGGGGACATAGGCCTTCGAGAACGTCGACGAAGACATAGGACGGTAGACGAGGAAGACGACGAGTTCAAATGTGATTGCGGCTTCGAATGCGAAGACCATGTTCATGTAGTCGCGGAATGTCCGTTTTACAAGAAGGAGAGGGAAGTGTACGTGACTGAGCTGGGAAAAATAGATGGAACGTACAGGGAGATATTTGAGGCATGGAATAGAGAGGAAAGGACGGTGGCTGTACTGGGGCATAGGAGGTCGGTTGAAAAGGCGGGAAGGGATATCGTTAGGATAGACTAGGGAAGACATTTTTGAGCCACCTTTGGCAAAGTAGAAAGGAACGATTGGCCATCGATGATCTGGACAAGCAAGGGCAAGACGTCGACAATACTGCTGTTCTGTTCCGGAAAAGCAAGGGCAAGGAGAGGGGGAAAAAAGTGGCCCCATATGCTTGCCTGCCCCAGAGTCTCTTTGGGAACGAGCCGAAACCACCGTAACCCAGTAAATACCTTTCTGGAAAAAAGATAACCACGAGAGGGGGGGGGGTGAACACACTTGCCTGCCCAAGCATCTCTCGGAAGCGGTCGACGCCGTGTCCGTAGTACTTGAGACCCATCTCGTGAAGGTGGACGATGTCGGTGCACACGCTGTGCTTGTTGTGGTACAGCAGTAACGGCCACACGGGAGAGAAGCGATGGAGTCGTCGAGGAGGTGAGCATTAGCAAACGATTAACAACATAGGGTAATGAACAGTTGAACCGCAACCATCAATGTTGACAAGCCGAAAGACGCGTAAATATATCGAAAACACACGATATCAGCACCCTTTCGAGAGTGTCGAGTCGGGCCATCTTGTCCGAACGTTAGGGCGTGGTGTAACCTTCCCTTCAAAGTAGCTAAGAACGACGACAACAACAGGTCTCACAAAAGGCTCTAACGGCAGATGAGTTGGTTTCAACCAACCAAAAAAAAAAAAAAACAGCAAGAGAAATCGAAGAAATCACGACAGAAAACCCATGTACCGACGAGTCACGCTGACAATAATCGTACCTGTCGAGAAAGTCTTGGTCGTGGGACACGACGAGCAGGGTGGTCTTCCACTTCTTGGCGAGGTAGTCGTCCAGCCACAGCACCGCGTGCAGGTCGAGGTGGTTCGTTGGCTCGTCGAGGAGGAGGAGCTTGGGCTTCACGAAGAGGGCCCTCGCGAGCGAGACGCGCATGCGCCACCCCCCGCTCAAGGTGGTTGTGGGGCCGTCCTGCGAAAGGAAACAGCAGACAGGACCAACATCATCGGAGGTGTGCGTGTTGTGTGTGTCGTGTGTGTCATTACTACTATAATAGCATCGACCGCGCTAACCGGCTGACCAATGAAAAGACGTCAGTCTCAGTGCGGTTGAAATCACCAAATTCAGTAACTGGGACTCCGTGAGGGCGCAGCATGGGGGAGGCTTAGCTATTCTCCGGATAGAAGACAGAAACGGCAGTGTGTGTGTGTGTGTGTGTGTGTGTGTGTGTGTGTGTGTGTGTGTGTGTTCGTTTATTCTAAAATAGCATCGACCGCGCTACTGCTGTAGCCGGCTGACCACCAAAGAAATTACGCCAGTCAGTCCTGTATCGCGTTGTGTTTGAGTCGGGCGTTACGCGGCAGCGACGGATGGACACATCTACAACAGAAGGGAGTAGAGGCTTGTGCTTTTCGATGTTGGGGGAGATCCGGCTTTTAAGTTGCTGTGACGGAACTCTCTTGTGCGGAAGCGATCGGGTACCAAAGGAAAAAACAACAACAAAAAAGAAGCAACGAGACGAGAAGCCGTACAACACCAACAGAGAGCAAAACTGACAAAAAAAAATTAATAATAACGCTGCGTGGGAAGCACACACGAACATGATGAAGAGCCGGGCGGCAGCAAGGGTCTTTCGACTGCATGCACCACACGTGAAGGCATACTTGTACACAAACACTCCGAGGCACACAGCAGCAGCAACACAGCAGCAGCAGCACCTGCATCTCGTCCGTGAAGCCCAACCCTGTCAGGATCTTGCGGACGGTTCCCTCCGCCGCGTCCGCCCCAATGGCATCCAGCTCTGACGCCACCTGGGCCAGCCTGTCAAAATAACGAGGCGTGTTTAGGCAGCGGCGGGGGCGGCCGCGAGCAAGCTCAACCAACAAACAACAGCAGTAGTGCGCGGAGAAGTGCCAGGAAAAAAGCGACGAGGTATGGAGTGTTGTACCGCAAGTGTGGTGTGCTTTAGTGGGTCGATGGCCCAGAAGAGAGCAGCCGTAATGATGATTGACTTTCGCTGTGGAAAGCGGGAGTTGTTCGTGACTCGATCAACATAGCAGCAGCAGCAGCAGCAGCAACAGCAGCAACAAGTGCCTGTGAAAGCAAGCGCGTCGAGGGCGACGGCGAAGCGCAATCGCCAAACGACAACACACACACGCACGAGCAGCCAGGCAGAGGAGCGGAAAAAAAAAAAAACTGCCCATCACATGACGCAAAAGAAGAGCCATCTTCTCATGACCAACACACCCCCTGATGGAACCACCCATGAAGCAGAACATAGCGTACGCACAGCATCCGGACAGCTCACCTCTTGCTCTTGGCAGCCCACATGTCGTCGTCCCAGTGACCCTCCTGCCCCTCCCCTTCCGCGTCGCCGCCGCTCTCGCTGCCCCCGTCTCCGAAATCTCCGAAATCTCCGTCGTCCTCTCTAGCCTCCGCGGCGTCCATCTGTTTGAGCAGCGACGCCTCCTCTTCGAGGAGCTCCCTTCGTCTCTCGTCGGCCAGCAGGACCTGCTCCACCACCGGACGCTCCGACGCCTCCGCCTGTTGGTGGTGATGGAGATGGCGGCTGTATGGTGTTGTTGGTGGTGGTAGTGGTGACGGTGGTCGTGGGTTACGGTTCGTACTCGTTATGGCGCGCAAAGCGGCATTGTGGGTGCTTCATGAACAAAAAACGGTTCGTGGTTTGGCACCTCAACACACCCTAGTTACCATCTACGCCGGCTGTAAGGACTATTGGTGCCTGGTAGAGAGCTTCAGGGGACGAGCGAAGGCAAGCAAAGACCCGGGTTGCTGAGCCTGCGTGTGTAGAGCACAAATGTCTTCACAATATCTTCGAACGGTTGAAGAAGAAACAATACCCAAAACCTGCCCTGAACGCCACGTGGACAAACGAAACAGCATCAAAGGGTAAAGGTTCCCTGCCCGTCGAAATCTACCACCGAACACCACCTATTTCTGTAGAGCACGCAACCACCAAGTGCCGCCCTTCATCGTGCGCACACACACGAGACAGGCAGCGTTGTGGGCGGAGAGGGGCATCGGCGCAAAGAAAACAAAACAAAAAATCAGTCAATCCTCGGGAAGGAAGGCAAAAAAACAATCAAACAAAAAACACACACATGCACGATTTGGAATATCAATATATCTAACCTCCTGCTCCACCAGCAGCACGTCGACGGCAGCGGGCACGGGCAGCTCTCTCGCCGCCAAGAACCTGAGTAGGGTCGACTTTCCTCGGCCGTTCGGTCCCAGGAGGCCGTAGCGCCTGCCGGCCGCGAGGCGCAGGTCGGCGTCCCTCAGGAGCTCGCGCTTTCGCGTTGGTCGGCGTCGTCGTAAGTCGTAGTTAGTGATGGTGTGGTGTTCGGCATAGACTTCAGAGAAACAACAAAGAAGAGGTGCACTTTGGGAGGGGCTTATAACATTGCCGTCTTTTCTTTTCACCCCTCAAGTCGATCTTGGCGCCAAAATTAGCTCTCATGGCACCATCAGCGCAAAAATGTTCGAGACGGGTTTCGAGAGACACAGCAGACGGGAGAGAGAGAGAGAGAGAGAGAGAGAGAGAGAGAGAGAGAGAGAGAG